AGTATTTGCTTGATCTGGTTGTTCACGATCCAGCGGCGGTTGCGAGAGAGAGCGGATTCGAGGGTCGGGTCCTTCTTCATCGACCAGAGAGCGAGGCCACGCAGGAGTATTCTAGGGTTTGGGTTTAGGATTGGGGGAAGGAGAAGGGGGTACAGAAGAGCGGCGGATCTCCGCAAAAACATGGCTGCAGTGGAGATGAGAATGGGAACCTTTTGTGAAATTATTAGATGTGAAAGTCTACAATAAAAATCATACATTTTCAAAGTGAGACGTGTGATTCAAGAAAAAATATTACATAAGGAGTAAGTATTCTAACGGTGGGGTGTCACATATATAATGATCCCATCGTGACGTCACGTGGCTCCCACTATTAGAGTACTGATACATCAGTGTTCAGGATTATTAGATGTGAAAGTCTACAATAAAAATCATACGTTTTCAAAGTGAGATGTGTGATTCAAGAAAATATATTACATCAGGAGTAAGTACTCTAACGGTGGGGTGTCACATATGTAATGATCCCATCGTGACGTCACGTGGCTCCCCACTATTGGAATACTGATACATCAATGCTCAGTTAATATTTTTTCGTGATTAAAAAGTTAAAAATTAATGAAATTATTGATACTAAAATGATTTGACACATATGAGTTGGTTATTATGTGGTCAAAATTAATCAAGAACTAATTTTTTTAAGGTCTCATGTCTTCTTATAATGATAAATTATTCATTAATTTAAATTTGCTTTGATGCCTCCATTTCTAATAAATCATTATTGTTGTATTTTTATTGTTTCTATTACTTAATTCTATTATAAAATTAATGGAAAATTATTTTATTGATAGGATTTTCAAGTTTTAGGAAATATAAACTTTTAGAACTTTTGTTGGTTCTGAAGTCTTGTACTTCAACAATGTATCATATTATTTTCCACTTAGATCACAAAGAGAGAGTAGTTATGGAAGAAAATTTTAGAAGTGTACAAGGCATGGGTAAGTAGAAGACCGTAACTTCTTCAAGTAAATTGATCAATTGGAGGATTCTACCTCAAATAGTGACCAGATGTGGAGCTTATTTTGGATAAAAATTTAACCCATATGATTGATCGTTTGGAGTTTAAAATTAATATTATGACAATATAACGTGTCACTATTGTGTTTTTGTTTATCATTATTTTGATTTTTGTGTTACTCATTGCTAACTGAGATACAACCTTTCGATATATTATTTGAAATTGTGAGTTTTTTGGAATTTTGAATGTATTTTATGTTAACATGTATGAGTCATAAGGTTTAAATAGTTATCTTACAAATAACACAATTATATAAGGGCAGTACTCTTTTTTTATTATTACTTTTTTATTTTTTTATAAACTGTTGCAACTCAGCTAATGCACAACTAAACTAACCAAATAGATGCACGGCTTCACTAACAACAACTTCCTCATGGTAGCTTCGTCTGTAATTGTTGTGCAATAGCTTCTTCAAATAGTTTTTGTTGCCCTAAACAGACCCTTTGATGATGATCTAAATATCTTAGATAAAATATATTTAAGAAGGTAATTGCAATAATATAGTTGTATTTTCGATATTCGTCGTCTCTTTTGTCAAAGAATTCACAATAATATAGATATTGAAATATTAACATTATACAAAAATTTAACACACAAAGATAAAAGGACTGACCGAGGAGATACAAAAGATTTTTTATGTGGAAAACTCAAAATGACCATAATGATCAATCAAGTTGAAATGATTATATTATTCATATGTACGTTATAAGACATTCCCTGCCATTGAACAGAAAAAAATAATGTAACAAGAGTGAAAGTTATTGACTTGGCTTTCACAAGAGGAGTAATAGCGACAATGGAAGATTAATGGCAAGGGTTGTATCATGAAGATCTAAAGTTTGCATCACTAAAGACAGTGGTCTAATGAAAGTGGTGATGAACACCGAGTAGTGGTGGCTCTACGATGGTGGCTTAGTAGAAGCAACAAACGAACAATTACAGTTCGCCAATGAGTGTTCGAAGATGATAGCGACAGTGTCATTTAGATGGCGGTGGTTTGGAAATTGCAATGGTGACCTAGCGATGATAGTGATGGCCTGATGGTGGTGGTCGAATGATAGTGGCTTAGTGGAAATAATCATCTTATGATGGTTTTGTGGTAGTATTTGAGTGACGGTGGTCTGATGATAGCAGTATAACGGCAACAACACTATTGGTGGTGACAGTGCTAACCAAATGACGATAATCTAATAGTTGTGGGGGTCGTGTAACAATGATCCAATTACAACAATAGCCAAGTGATAGTGACACGACATTGCGAGTGGTTTTCCGACGACAGCTTTGGTCCAACAATGTCGGTACATCAATGACAATGACGGTTCAACGAAGGTCACAACACGATAACTATGGTCCAGCGATGGTGTAGATCGAGAATCCTTGAGGGTTTAAAGTTTTCTTAAGTCTTCTCATTCATGTTCATGCCAACCCTTATGATGATAGTAGGCATCTATTTATAAATTTTGAGAGTGACATCATTCATAAATACTATTTGAATACATATCTCTTTAGCATATGGTGAAGAATAATTTTTTTTTTGATTGGATAATGTTTATGAGTATTTGAGCGTCTTAATGATATTTAAATTAAGCAATCTTCGACTCATTAAATTAAGCAATCTTGGGTATATATGCAAAAAAATAATAAAAAAAAATATTACATATATAAATAAATAAACATTTTTCTTTTTTTCCCCCCTCAATTCCGTGTTTGAGAAGCAAAAATTTGTGACATCTAATCTTGCAAACAACTTATAATTTTTGAGTACTATTAAATAAACCAACAAATATATATATATATATATATATATATATGTCGGCACTATTTTTGGTGTGGAGTTTGCCTATATATATATATTAACTAATGAGCTGTGGACAGAAATGTAACGTCCATTTTCTAGCTTTTCTTTATTGGGGTTTGAGATTTACAATAAACCCTTTCGCTCTCTACACAGCTCATCAAATCATTTTTAGCAAACTCACAAGTTCTTAATCTTGTGCAAAAAAAAAAATTACATAAATACCACATGGTTTTCATGTATGTGCTCATTTAACATATCAAAAGCTAATGAAAAAGATATTGAGCCGACTTTGAGTGAGCCGGTCTTGAGCATAGCCCGGCTTCATTTATGTCAATCCGATCCCGATCTAAGCTAAAATTCGAATCAATTTTGGAGAAAGTAATGATATTAGAGCTAAATTCATAGCCCTAACTTCACTAGGACTGTTAATAATCTGATTTCAAACCGAGCTGAGGTTGGCTAAAAAAAAATTATTACAAAATTTTCGCTCGAAGCTCAGCTACTATATTTCGATCCGAGCGAAAATTTGAATCTAGAAACTCTCTTTAAGCTAAATTCACAGCCCTAATCATGTCAAGGTATATTTATAAAAAAGGTAGTTTGCAAGGGATAGATATATAAATGCATAAGAATATTGGGGGGAGTATGTAAATCAATAGATGCCTCCAAAAAAAAGCCATTTTTTTCGTCCGGCCACCTATTACGGAGCGAGGAAAAAAAGGGATCTTCGCTGTTCAAATCTGTTATAAAATTCATGGAGGTTTCTCCTCACCGGTCATCCCCAATTCCTCTATCGCCGGATTCTTCTTCTTTTCCGGCGGCTTCCCCCTCCGTCTCTCTCCTCGCCTCTCAGTTTCTGTTCTCGGAATATAAAGAATGGGGGGCTGCGCCACCAAGCCCGTTGTGTTGAAGGAGGAGGCTCCTAAGACCGCCGAGGATCCCACAGCCGCCCCAGCCACCGACGCCGGTGATGCCGGCGGCGGATCTGTCGATGATGCGGCCAAGGATGTGACCGGCGGGGAGGAGAGTAAGGAGGAGGCCGTTGAGGGCCGTAAATCGCTTGGCAATTTCTTTGCGGAGAAGGTGGTGATTTTTTTTCAATTATTAATTGGATTTTAATTAGAATTTTATGTTAGATTTTGTTAAGTAATGTTATTAGATATGTAAATACTCTTTGATCAAAGAGTGCGTTTGGGGGGTGGCGGTGAAGTGATGGCGTGATATCACACCGTAGTTTCTTTTCTTGTAAAACTGTGTCTTGCCATCATTCTCAAAAAACTGTGTTTTCTCATCAAATCTAGCAACTTGCAGTAGCTGCTAGAATGCTAACGGTCTGATCTTTTCACCAAAAAAAAAAAAAAACAAAAGCAAAAACTTGCAATAGTCACCACAATATTTTGAATAGCAATTTCTTCTTCAACAGCTTCACAACTATTTCTTCAAACATTCAAAGCTGTCACAAACAAACCCGAACTCTCATTCTTGAGTTTTTGCAGGATTTGGTAAACCGTTAAAGTTATTAAAACAAGATTAATAGATGGTTTAAAAAGTATGATATTGCAAAATAATATTTGGATTGATCTCATTTATGTATTTAAAATTTTAGATTTGGTGTTTTCTCAATAAAAAGCATATTATAGTAATTTTTTATTGGGTTTTTATTTCTTAATGCGTAATTAATTATGAATTAAATATTCGTAATATAAAAATATGGAAGATTTAAATTCATTCAACTTAATTCCTATGTATTTACTTATCCAACACCTAAACAAAATAAAGCTGTATTTTACTTTTTTTTTTTTTTAGTTGAAATAATGGTGTTTTATGTGACATGAAATATTTGGATGGTGTAGATGTTGAATGTAAAGTTTATGTATTAGATGTGCAAATACATGGGAGTGGGGTTGTATACCGGTATGCATGTAAATAGAGCTATCAAAAACGTTTGTTGTTCACAAGCAGTTCATGTTCGGATTATTAAGTAGCTCGTTGTTTGTGAATAATTCGTGTACATTTGGTTAAGTTGCTCGTATTTCAATCGTTCGTTAAGTAAATGAGTCGAGCATGAATAGCTCTTTGTTTGATTGTGTTTTAACCTGTTTGGCTCAAAATAAATAAATTATATATATTATTTGTATATAATATATTATATATATTTATATATCTAGGTTTAAATCAGAACAATTTGTGTGGTCTTGCAGTTTTGCACCTTCTATTGGTGCATGTTTGAATCCTACACCCTATATGTATTTCTAATTAGATTTAACGAGCTAATTTTGAGCGGAATACTAACAATAATATGTAAATTTAGTCGAACATGAACACACTATTCACGAGCAATTTCGAAAGAGCCAAACACAAACCAAAACACAAGTCAATTTCGAGTCGAACACTAACACCAATATGCAAATGAACACACTATTCATCTATTTCGAACACAAGCAAAATTTTCAACGATCCGAACACGAGCCAAGCCTAAACTCGCTCAAGCTCGGCTCCTTTAGGGCTCCACATGTAAATGCCCCAATCTTTACATTCATTCATTTTCATATTTCTCTGCTGTGCTAATTCGATGCACTTTACTTTGACGCCTGAAAGGCCGAAGAGAAGACTGCAGCTACCGTGGAAGAGAAGACCAAGGAAGAGAAGGAAGAAGCCAAGCCGGAGCAGCAGGCCGAAGAGAAGACTGCGGCTATTGAGGAGGAGAAGACCAAGGAAGAGAAGGAAGAAGCCAAGCCGGAGCAGCAGGCTGAGGAGAAGACTGCTGCTGCTGCTGCTGCTGAGCAGCAGAAATAAATAATAAAAGAGCTCAAAAAGGCTCTGTAATATTTTGATTTAATTGGATTTCTTTGAACATCCTTATTATATTTATGTGGCTTCATTGATTCATTATTTGGACTTCTGTTATGTTTCTGTTGATTAAAGTTGCTGGGCATTGATGTAATTTTGGAAGATTTACATATACTTTATATATTTATATATCAAACATTCTGTTTTATTCAAGAGTGAAAAAGGTGTATTTCACTTTTTAAAAATTAATGATAGTGACATTTTTGATATGTTATATAGCAGATTTCATGAGTTCGATAATTCAGAATATAAGCATAACTAGAAAAAAAAAATTACAAATATGCCAAGGATAAGACCAGAGGGTATTTTTGTAAAAAAGGCCATCAAACTCTGCATTCCAAACAAAAAAATAAAAAAAAAAAAAAAGTTAATGCCATTCTAAAGGATGGAAAAAAGGGTAATTTATTCTGCCTGCTTTTGTCATTTATTACAAATATAAACCAAAAAAATAAAATTTTGCAAAGCAAAAAAGAAATGCTTCCATATGAAAATTTGCCTATTGCTATTTGCATGTAGGAAGAAAGAACTAATCTCTATAGAACATCAAGATGCAAAATTTTCACCCCTTTAGCCTTGAATCTCCAGCTTTCATCACCTGACGCACAATTCTTTCTGCAAACAATTGCTTATCATCTTCATCCGGTGTTACAAAAGCATGGTTCTTCAAGCCAGTCCTCAACTTGAGCTTCTGTGAAGCCTTCTGATTTTCATTTCTGGAGCAATCTACCAGGCCATTAAAATCCCTCTCTTTCTCCTTATCATCTTCCTTTTTGCCATCCCAAGAATCCAAAATCTTTAGCAGCAGAGAACTATCATCCGGGCTTTGTTCTCTTCTTCCTGATCTATCAGAGGGTGGACAAATCTCCTCTTCTGAATCAGTATATTCATCATCAGAGAGGGAAACTGGGCTGTATTCCCTGCCATTTTCATCACTGGGAGGGTTGGATAGAGGAGGTCCAAGCTCATCCCAAGCAGAGTCGTCGAACCGACTGTTCTCCGTTAAAGCTTGTTGACCTTCGCCGTCTTCTTCCTTCGCCTCTTTGATCTCAGAAGACTGAATGTAAGAGTTTTCTATTCTTATGTCAGGCATTATCTTCAGTAAAGCTGCAAGTTTTGGGTAGCCTAGAGCATTGCAATCCAATATATAGCCGTATTTTTTAACAAATTCAGGTTGGAAAATGCTAATGTTAAAACCAGAGGGGTTTTTCTGTAAAAGATCCTCCAGCAATTTGGAGCAATGGGATAGTATTTCATCTCTGCTGTGAGGTACAGCCTTTTTTCCTGCAGTTCCATTCTGAGAAAATCCTATAGAAACAGAGTTATGCTCTTCCTTTTCTTCATCTTGGAGTTTCGGGGAATCGGGCTTAGTTTTTGCAGGAAAAAGTGAACTTAATCCATTTAAATGATATGGTTGGGATAGAATAGATTTCTTCTTTGCAGTAACAGTAACTTTAAAAGGAAATTTCTGGGATGCAGTTTCTTCCACCCATTTCTTCTCCAAGAACAAAATATTACCTAACTGAGAAAGATTGTTATTGTTGAGTTCTTTGAGAGATGAAGGCCCTTCATTCTGTAACATTTGTAGAAACTGCTCCCTGATTGGGGAAAACGAACAGAGGTGAGGAAGAAAGCATATGTTTAAGGGGGTGTTTCGTAGCATAGTTTCAAGATGATTTAGCCATGAATTTAGTGTAAATCCAGCCAAACATAAAATAAATAAAAAAATATCCGACGCTCCATTATATCAAATTTTTTGTGTTCGGTCTTTCCTTACCATGTTCTGTCTTTTATACGGAGTAAATCCGAATTTACTAAATCCGATTGTAAGGTAGATTTAAGAATATCTTTCATCATGTTGTGAGCGTCGTCTCTATCGCCATCTCCGTCAATATAAATCTGGATTTATCAAATTTACTAAATCCTATTAATGTAAAAATCTAAAGCTACCAAAGAAACCAAAAAAAAAAGTTACATTTGAGATTCTCTCCGTACATTTGGGAATTTATGTATGGTGTTGCAAAAACCTTCAGATGATAATTATTTAAAATAATGACATGTAATAATATTAATTTTAGTAAGATTGCAGAGATTTCATCCATTTGGATTAGGTTGCGGAGTGTCAGTCGCAAGCAATGCCTTGGCAAACTATAATCCTCATCACAACTTAATTCAGATGTGAGAGAAAACCTTTACGCACTTCTGTTGATAGTAGGATTTGGTTGTGATACATCGCTTTCGTGAACCCCCTAGCACTAGAAAAGTTCAAATTTGATATGGTTCAATGATTGGTTATATACACCTAATACCTTTCCCAATCCTCCGGGCCAATGCTCTTTCTATAAAGTTTCTCTCAAATAAGTAATACTTCTAATAATGTACTTTTCCACTAAATATCTAACATGCACATCCAAAGTCCCCAAATTCCATATGTAATTTAATTTCCAAAGAAACCATTAAAACACTTTCCGCAAAAATAGCTTGAGTTGTTGCACTTAACTCGTATGTAGAAAAGGTAATATAATGAATGACCAAGTTAACCTTTTAAAAGAACTAATTTGAAGAGGTTCATCAAGCACCACATTAATAAAAAAAAGGTCATAATGCCGAGGTCAAAGATGACAATTTTCTATACAATGGTCAAAGAAGAAGAAGCGTGAAATCTAAAAATATATCTTCAAGACAAGATCGTTGGCTCCAAAAATTCACGACCGCTCCCAATGAACTCTCAACAATAATTTTTAATTTTATTTATTGAGAGATTTGGAGGGTTGAATTTTCAGAAGGTAGATTGAATTGTGGAAAAGACACTACTCAGATATTTCACCCTCATTTAGCGAGGACTTATTGATCTGGTGTTCGAGGTTTCCCACCATAGGCATAAAGCCCCTATGGTTAATTACCCCTCTCGATAACAGGACAACACTTTCAATTAAAACTAGTCATTAAGAACTGAATATTCAACATATAATAGCAGTAGACTTAAGATTTATGTTGTAGAATTCATCACTTGAAGCTTAAAACAGATGGTGGAGGAATGAAGCTGAAACTCAATCAAGATCCCATGGTTTTGTCATCCCAAGGTCATCGTGGTCACTGATCTAATTAGTCAAAAAAGCTAGTTGACTCAACCTAACAGAAGGATTCTTGTCGGCGGCCATGAGCTGCATCGTCCAAGGGATCCTTGTAGATTTGTCTAAGGGGATAAATTTAAGTCGACCTTAGCTAACAGAAGGTTTTTTGTCAATCAATTATATCATTATAATTCACAACTCAAATGATAGAAAGCCGATAGGGAACAAACGGGTTGTGGTCGTGACCGTGAGATAATCGTGTCATTTGACGGCAACCACCTAAACAGAGGGCTTTGGTTGTAACCGCTATTTTGTGGTGTCATTTGGCGGCAGAACCACGCGAGCAGTGAATTAGGCCACGTCCTTAATAGCATGTGATTGCATTGAATGTGAATATATTTTGATATTTTTGTGAGCTAAAATTAATCGGACATTTGTAACTCTCAAGAAACTTTTGTGGATGATAGATGGATTTTACTTTTAACTTTTAGTGATTTAATTTTAACTTAAATATTTGGTTGGTTACTTTGTAAATATTGATTTAAAAATTTGACCACTCCGGTTAAAATCTTTGATCAACACGACCATCATCAGAGTTTTAAGCATTTAAAACATTTGTATTTGAAAGAGCATTTAGTTTCATTGATTTAAACCTTTTTTGAGAATATAAGTATTGTCTACTCCAATCCTAATAACTAAAAGGATCAGACTAGATGATTTGAACTTGTAAATTTTTATCTTTAGGATTTGAACATTTATTTCAAAATTAATAGACTCGTCGACTCTAATCCTTATGAGAAGGAAGATTGCACTAGTGAGATGGGACTTACAGCCTTATCCTATAGACAAGACGACCAAATTAGCCCGCACAAAATTCTCAAACCCAATATTTAAACCTTTAATATTTTGGTTAGAGCACATGCGGGAATTTAATTTTTTTATATTTGAAAAGCTGAAAAATTTCGAGATATTTCATTGAACTTAGGGTATCCCTGAGAAGTTTAGATATGCTTTGAAAAATTTTCATATGATTTCAAGCTATGAACTCTTGTTTGGATTTTAATTTATTGAATTACATGCAATGTTATATCTTTAGGCTTTAAGAAAAACTGTCTTTTGTTCGCTAGCAGATATGTTGTAAATCCGATGGCGGAATTGAAATATTAATTCCTCATTTTAACTTCTAAAAATGGCAATCATGTCTTAAACATAGCCCCAATTTGTGATATTTAACATTTAAGTTAGATTCAGCCCCTCTAAGCTTCTATCCAATCAAGCTTAGCCCCATTTTATGTTTTCAAATAGATCAAATAAAGATTCATATATATATATATATATATATAAAATTTAATTATATTCAAATATGATCGAATTTGAAGCCAAAGAGAAGTCCAATTATATTATATTAATTGACGAGTCATTCAATTTTTTATGACTCTTATGCAATTATAAAATTGATGTAAGTGAAACTTTATGTGATTTATTTGAAAACATAAAATTAGGCTAAGCTTGATCGAATTTGAAGCCAAAGAGAAGTCCAACTATATTATATTAATTGACGAGTCATTCAATTTTTTATGACTCTTATGCAATTATAAAATTGATGTAAGTGAAACTTTATGTGATTTATTTGAAAACATAAAATTAGGCTAAGCTTGATCGAATTTGAAGCCAAAGAGAAGTCCAACTATATTATATTAATTGACGAGTCATTCAATTTTTTATGATTCTTATGCAATTATAAAATTGATGTAAATGAATATTTATGTGATTTATTTGAAAAGATAAAATTAGGCTAAGCTTGATCGAATTTGAAGCCAATGAGAAGTCTAATTATATTAATTGATGAGTCATTCTATTTTTTATGACTTTTATGCAAGTCTGAAGAGCCTTTAATTATCTTCATGAAATGATTTCACTATAGCTTAAGTATTATTCTATATTTTGTAATATCTATTTTCTTTTAATTTTATGTCATTTTTAAAGTCCAAAAAGTCCCAATTTTTATATTATTTACAAGTCCAATATCTTACAATAGAGAATTTTTCACAGCATAAGACAAATGAAAGAGAAAAAAAGGATCTCACACACAAATACCGTGCTTCTACATAATGCAGCTCTCAATATTCACAAATACAAAGCTGAGTAACTGGCAATAGAAAAATTTAACATGTAGAGTAAACCACATCAAATATTTTAAATTAAAAAAAAATATCCATACATGTTCATCATTAAACCAATGGAAAGAAAAACAATTATGTATTCTATAATAAATAAAAAATAATAATAACTTCACGAAGTAAAAATACTTGAATTTGCATGGATAAAAGAAAAAAATTGGGCAAAGTTGTTATAACCTAACACAAGTTCTATGGGAGAGAAAAGTAGAAAACGAAACTCATAAAAATATGTAGTTTGGTAGTGTAATCCCAAACCCCGTAGTTTGGTAGTGTAATCCCAGACCCCTTGGAGGATTATAAATATTGAAATGTTCCATTCTAATATAAACGTTCGTAGAAGGGAAACAAAACCACAACTCACCACAAAGAGGAAAGGGAAAGTTTGCAGACAATGAGAGAAAGGAGAATCAATAGGCAAAGAAAGAGTAGAAAAAAATGACAAGCTATCTTCCATCCTACAAATTAAGGGGCATTTACACGCATACCGCACAATTCTCATGTATTTACACATCTAAGACCTAAACTTTCAAATTTACATGCAAAACACTAATCTTTAATATCACATAAAACATTTTAAAAGTGAAGTACACCTTTTCATGCATAGTTTCATGCAAAGAAATTGTGTCGTATGTATGTTTCCCAAAAATTAAATGGACATATGGCTAGAAACCAACGACCAAGGATGCATTCAAATGTGATGCTAAATCAAAAGGTAAACAAAAAATTTTGAATATTCTAATAGTCTCAACAGTATTTTATCAACCTATAGTTTATCACATAATTCAAGCATTTGAAATCTATCTTTCTAGCAATATCATTAATATAAGGATGTTTCATGGTAGGCGGAGAAAAAAATAAAGATATGAGAGCTTAAAAAAATAAAAAATTTAGATCCTAATGCCAATCATCTCCCAGGCTCTTCTAAATAAAGATATGGGGGAACGATCTCGTGAGCCCCAATATCAATGAATATCTATGTATTAGAGTTGCCATTATTGAAAAATTCGAGTAAATTTGTTATGTGTTTTGTTGGAATTCATGTGATACAGAAGTTGCACCATACATTGCCTTACTGATAACATTACTCAAATATCAATTCATTATATTAGCACACATGTATTGCCAATATTTAAGTTAATCACCACACCGCCTTCCCAAGAATGTTTGCTTAATAAGTTCTTGAAAACTCGCATTCTTTTTGTGCGAAAAAACTGATAACATTACTCAAATATCAATTCATTATATTCGCACACAGGTATTGCCAATATTTAAGTTAATCACCATGCCGCCTTCCCAAGAATGTTTGCTTAATAAGTTCTTGAAAACTCGCATTCTTTTTGTGCAAAAAAATCCTTAGATTACACCAACACTGAGAAGGAACCCTTAATAAAGTTAAACTAAATTGCAAATGATTAGCTGTCCTACTTGTGCATATTTAAATCAAAAAGGTTAACCAGGCGGATTTAGTCTATGGTTTTCCCTGGGAGCCATAATACTGTGTCTGAATTCATAACAGTCAAATGAATATTAATTATAAAGTGAATATCTTTTATAATTTCTTTGCAAGCTGGCAAGCCTTACTTCTGGTCATTTTATTAGCATTTTTAGGTACTATGGATTGGGGTTGTAACAAGTAGAGTTATAATTTGTAGAACAACGTAGATTAAAGATAAAGAAAAGAGAGAATATCAACCAAGGCAATGCATAGACATAGTGCTATGATCTAAATAAATCAAACAAGTTGAAATGTTCTTAGCCAAATTTTACGAAGTGGGAATGTATAGAAACAAAAAAATAAATATTTCTATGTTGTAAATTTGAAACTCTTTAAAACAAACCTAAGCCTGTTTTATTTTGCTACCGCATAATTCGATCTAAGAAAGTTGGTCCCAACCTGTCCAAAATGTAGAGCTATTTCCAATAACAATGAGTTGTTTAAATGTGCAAATTTAGTAATTTGCAGATGATACTTTTGTCAGGATTAAACCACTAAAACAGATGTTGTGAATCATAATGCAAATTCATTCATTTTATATGTAGCACTGTGTTAAAAGGTTTGGCATTTGGAATGTAAAATGATTTTCTATAAAACATTGATTAAGCAAAGAGTAATGCTAGACAGCATAATAAAAATAAAATAAAAGTATAAAAAAAATTGCTGCATGCATATAACCATTACCTAGTTCTAGATTTCAATATAAGGTGAAAATTCTTGGGATCCAGTAAAAATGCTTCCAGTTCATCCCAGAAGTGAGAATTTGAGAATAGCTCATGAACTGCTGGATTGCTGTTTGAAAAAGGATGAGCTTTACCAGATTTGCAGGCTGCATCAATTTGTTGAGCCTTATCACTAGAGTCAGAATGGTCATCTTGCTCATTTGTACCATAAATCCATGATTTTGACCACCTTAAAATCGTGCCCAAAAGACCATCCCTTTGTTCATTTACATTATTGGACTTTTCAGATGGAAAACTGTTATCATCCTTTGCAATCGATTTCTCAGAACTTCCTTTTTCAAAAAAAAGATTATTTGGATCTTTAACCTCATCTTTTTGTTTAATTTGCATGAAAAGGCCAGAACTTTGCATGTTTGGTGCATTTTTACTATAGTCTTCATGACTTGAAGAATCTACCACCAATATATTATCATCTTTTTTGAGGACAGAACCAACTCTATGACCACGAAGCCTCTTCCATATCTTCTTTAGGAGCCCCTCTTTAACTTCAATGTTTTCCTTTTGCTGCAAAGCATTAGAAGGATCTAATATGGTTGGTCGAGCAACCGAATCACCTTTACGTCCTTCTAAACCAACCACCGGATGATTCTTAGAATTTAAATTGCTTTCCTTAAAGCTTGATGGATGCTCAGCAGAAATACTCATCTTATCCATCGGTGACTCTCCCTTCCTTGTAAAACCATTATCCTTATAAACACCATTGATACAAACCTCTTTACTTAACCTTGACCTAATATCAAATTGTTCCGCACCCTTTCTAAGCATGCTAACAACCAGAGGTTGTCGATCACCAGACAACGATGGGACAAACTTCAACAGGTTCAATGAAGCGAGAAAGAGAGAGAACTTCTTGTAACCAAAGAAATCCTTATCAATAGTTATGTTGTTTCTTTTAAGCTCGCTTCGAAGCTCCGTAAGGCTAATACCTTCGGGATAAGAATGCAACACCTGACGTATCGCATTCACCACTACCCTCGGAACTGGCCGAGGCTTCAACTCGGAAATCAATTCCATGGATTCCTCAGGTTGTGAAGTTGTGGGATGGTCAGAATCCGCAAAAGGATCATCAAGTAATCCTTTGAAATGGCCATACCAAGAACCATATAAACCATCGGGTGGATGGTTAAAATGTCGGACGGTAAGATTTTCTCCCTTAACCAATCCATTCCATGGCCACATAATAGTTGCAGCACTGCAAAGGACTCCAGAAGCAGTCTCTGTGCTAGCGAGAAGGATATTGTAGTTGCTCATCCTTAGCCGATGAAGAATGTTAGCGAAGTCCTTATCACCTGAGATCAAGAAGAAATGCGCTGGCGGAGGGTTCTGGTAAACCCAGTAGACAATGTCAGCCATGAAAGATCTGTCAGAACTGTTCTTCCCACCTACATATACAGGCTTATAAGAAGCTCAGAAGGTAAAGTATAAGACAATTATGCTACTGAGTAAAGCAAAACATTACATGTATCTTTCTTCACTAACAAATAAGAAAAAAGATTATCAATTTATTTCTTGCAGAGAAAATTACTTGTAAACAAAACATACCACCGAATTTTAAACACTTAGTTGCTATATGTAGAGGATCGATCCTCTTTCAGTTTTTTTTTTTTTAATTTATTCTAAAATAATTCAAATTGCTGAAGATAGTTCAAAAATTCTAAGAAAAAAAAAAACTGTATCAAGAAGAAAACATTAAATTCAAGCATTATTGTGGCAGCTAAACTTAGAAAACGAATTACAAAACGCAGAGGTTAAAGAGGTAACCTACTACAAGGAACATGGGTGAGGGAAATGCCAGTGGAGGTGAGCGCTTCCTGAGTAGTACGCGAGAGCTGGGCCACGTCCCCGAATGCTATGATGGTAATCGGCCCTTTAATGCCGCTTGATCGAATAGCCCAGGTGATCCGACTGGAGACTCGGTGAACGTTCACACCGATGGGAATGTTACAGTTCTCGAAATCCCACCATACCGTGATCTTCACATTCCTATTCTCCTCATCATAGTTCCTCCTCAATAAAGACGGCGAGCTGAAAGAAGAAGAAGAAGAAGAAGAAGAAGAGGAAGGAGAGGGACTTCCTTCGCTCCGCCGCCGATAAGCATCGTCGCCGGCGGCGGGGGGTAGG